CGACTGCACCAGATGTTGCTGTACCACGCGCCGCAGCTTCTGCAAATTCCGCGACGCCACGCGACGTCCTTCCACCCCACCCTAGACAGCCCGGCAGTGCTTATACTAAGACGTTTCAACAACCTCCACAGACAGGCCTATAAGAGAAGCCGATGATTCTGGAATGTCGCCAAAGAGATAAATCATGGATTCCAAAGCAGCGCATCCTCTCAATGCGCGCGCCTGGCGCGCAGAGATGCGCGCGCCAGGCGCGCGTTGACCCACCCACAACCCATCCCAACAACGCTCCAGAAGCACAGACCTGCGCGCCAGGCGCGCGTTGACCCACCCACAACCATCCCAACAACGCTCCAGAAGCACAGACCTGCGCGCCAGGCGCGTGTTGACCCACCCACAATCCTTCCAACAACACTCCAGAAGCACAGACCTGCGCGCCAGGCGCGCCTTGACCCACCCACAACCCTTCCAACAACACGCCAGAAGCACAGACCTGCAGGCCAGGCGCGCGTTGACCCCTTTCAAAAAGACTTAAGTAAGCACAGGCCTGCGCGCCAGGCGCGCTTTGACCCACCCAATCCCCGCAGCAAGCTTCAAGTAAGCACAGGCCTGCGCGCCAGGCGCGCGTTGAACCACTAACTATATAGGCACAGCGCACAAGTTCCAGCACACAAGTTCCTTGAGCCATGTTTGGGTCACGTGTCCACAGGTATACACAAATACCAGTTTTAACACCATGTACTTTTTGGCACGTGTACACATACACTACCATGAAAAAACTGGTGTTCCAAGGAGTTGTTTAAAACTCATTGATTTGTGGCACCCCTTTCTTGTATCATTGGACCCTATCTAGAAACTAGGCAGACCACGAACGTCGAACTGCATCGGTACGGCCGGGCGGTTCTTGGCTCCAACATGTGCTTTGGTTTTTGCCAGCCTTGCTTGGATTGTAGGAATACTTTGTAAAGTCACCCCCCCAAAAACTTCAAAACAAAACATCGAATGCAAAGCCCCTGAAGATTGTAGAGGGGCGCCAGACAATCCAAGACCGGCCAAAACCAAAGATGATGCGGGGAGCGTCCACTCGCTCATTTCTTGGCTCGGTGCTCAAACGTCAGATGTCAGATCAATCCAAAGCATCTGTGAGAAGCAGCAATGCGCGATATCTGCCTAGTGTCACGGCACTCATAGTTCTCACGTGGGTGGCAGAAGCGATCTTTCTCAAATGACCCATTAGGTCCTCGTCGCCATAACAATGTTCAAACCTCACACGTTGATAGGAAACAAAAGGCAGGCTCACGACAAGCCACTGTTAACATTCAATAGTTTCCCTCTAAAGACATGACTTGGGGGGCCAACTCAGTAAGAAACCTTTCGCGCAAAAATTGGTGAAGGAACCGCGGGTTGCGGCAACTATGCTCAATGTAGTCCGCAAGGTGAACTAGGTTGTGGAACTTTGGTGTAATTTTGAAGTTCCGCCGCTCTTCTCCAAAGCGCTGTCTGTGAAGACTCGCCAGGCGTTGATAGAACAATAAAAATATCCGTGCATAATTGGCAGTTTCAACAGCTTTAGCATGATCGAAGAACTCAGGAGCCTCGTCAATATTTGTCTGGAACATTGCCATCGAGTGCATGGTATAGCAACGAAGCTCAGAACCAGGGCAGTCATGGAGAGCGTTCCACAAGAAGGCTGACGCCCAGTGGATCATGTCCCGGACGCATGCAGCCTTGTACACACTTCCAAGTTCAGGAAACACATTCCATTGTTCCCGTCCAAACTTGACAAGGCTAAACCTGAAAGAGCAACCGCTCTTCCTGTGAAGCCGGCACCAACTCCGATAATGGTTCCAAATGTCTCCCAAAAGAATACGGTCCATGTCTCGAAGCGTGCAGCCTGGATTTTGCGACTCAATGTGATCTGTAATCAGCGACGGTATCACCACGCATGCAATCCCCTGATGCAGGATGTGAAGCAAGTCCTGGCAAGTCATAGCAAGACTGCCAGCAGTCATAAACAAAATACTGTTATTATTGTTTGGAGGGCGACAAAAACAATATAAAATAAGAAGGCAACAGTCCATTCTCAATGAGCCGAGGATCTTCGAGGTTCCTCTCACGCCGCCATCCTCTAACATGGGTCCATGCAGACACACGGTGTCTAGAGCACATACCAATATACTCTTCATGGGTCCAAGAGACACTCCGATAGGGCGCATCAGGGTGGAAATTTCCAAAACTGTTCTCTCCACTCCGGCTCGCTGGACACAACTCGCAGATGTTCTTGGAGGCATAGTTTCTTTCAAACTTGTGGCAAATGGCCCTTGCCTCCCAGTCTCCCTTGAAGCCAGCAAAGCGGAACAACCAACGTCCTGCTATCGGTGTCCCTGCTTTCAAGCACTGAGGTGTCCCTTCTGCAAAGGGATGTCCGTTCTCATCGGCCAAAGGAAAACGCCCTGTGGCCAGAACGTCCGTGATGTAGCCAATGTGTTTTGCCACGCAGTCATGTGTGCAGAATTTTCTGATGGAAGTCTCATGGATGAGGGTGTACACAAGTTTCGTTTGAATCGATTCACCCTTTCTGCAAGCCGACGAGTAACTGTATATCCATGCTTTCTGAGCACGGTATACGCGGACCCCATCGGTGTGCCAAAAGATTGGAACAGTGCGATCGAAATCACGCTCATCAAGTTGCAGCTCCTGAAAAAACTCAAGATGGCGACAGTGCCGCCAATATTGGGCAACTTTGTCAGGCGCCAATCCCGGATCATCACTGACCCACTGGTTGAACTTACCTGCTGTAAAAAGCCAATGAAGCATGTCCCATGGCCAAAGAACACTTGCCTCAACGTCTCCATGTACCAGCATTGGCTCTCCGTCAACTTCGGCCTCCACCCATCCAGGTAACTTCACAGATGCAGGATGCACTGCGCAGTTTTTTTTGCACCACCTGCCAGCTTCAAGAAAAGCCTTCAAAGCAACACTAAATACTAGAATTCCGGTATTAATTGAACACTATTAAATTGAGACTCGCGAAACGTTGTCTTTATATATAGAGTAACACGCTCAAGCAAAGTGTAACCCCCAGACACCTTGAGAAAGAGCGCTCCTCATGACCAGAATTTGCCCATTCAGCTAAAGTATGGGTCAGCTTGCAAGAAACTCCATCAGTTAAGAGATCTGCAGCTGATCGACAAGCATCAGCCACTGAGGTTGCCTTGATTGAAGCACAATGTTTGCTTTCTATTCACAATGTTTGCTTTCTATTCTTGGAGGTTTTTGCACCTGGTTGTTTTGTGCGAATGCAATAAGAGCTCAACAGTCTGGGAAACACTTCTTTGCAAAGACAGCAAAACTTGTAAAGAAGATTGAACGCTTGCTGACTCAAATCAAGAAGACTCCAGTGCAAATCTTTTTGAGAATCCTTTTTCCAGAGAGGGACTCGTGCGGCCCATGGCCACCTCTCTGGTCAGAAGAGCGAGGCAGCGGTGATCGGGATCTGTCCCTGCGTGGGTCACGTGGAGTAGTCTTCGATTGTTTGATTCGATGTCACACCATGAAGTCATCCTTTGTTTGGCGACGTTTTGTTTGCGTGCGTCGAGACGAGACCTAATCAGTATATATATATATATGCAATAGTTGATACATATATATATATAATATATGTATTGTTTTGCATGTTTGATCCCATACTTGAGCTACGAACCCTGAAGAGATCCAGAGCCGCGCCATCAGCGAACAAACAAATGGGTCGCTTTTTTGACTTTCGAAGTAGCCAAGCTCTCAGGCTGTCGCCTCCAATCCTTGATCTAAATGGCTGTTCAAGCCTCTGGAACGACCGCATGGGATACCCCTCCCCTAAGCAGTCACCAAAGGATGAAAGATCCCAGTGACAAAGTGTTTTCACTCTGTCTTTTTCCCAGCAGCTTTTGCCTTTCCCTTGGGGGCGGACTTAGCCTTGGGCTTGGATGATTTCTCACTTGCCCTCAAAAGCGCTCGGGCCAGTTCGACCCTCTCCGATGCCAGCGCGCTCGCTTCTTCAACCTTATAGTGTCACTGGCGACGCACGTTTGGGGATTTGGGAAGAAAGTCATGGACCTTTTACCTGCTGAGATTTGAATCTATAGAGTGAATTGTTTTGTCCAGAACCTCTTTGTTTGGGAGGGCGCCATGTTTGGTTTGAGGGCTTTGGTTGACCAAGAGACCTCCTTGACCAATTCAACGTAGTATTTATTCTTGTTCTTCTTCTTCCGGATCAACTCCTGGAGGCTCCCAGCAAGGTCCTGAAGCTTGGAATCCATAGCTCTTAGCTGGTCGATCAACTCACCTGATACTTTCAGCGGGCGAAGCTTGAAAGCTTGGTCTCGGCATTGGTTCGCCTTGCTCAACACTTGGTTTTGCAAGGTGGCAGCCCTTTCCAAAGGAGTTTTGGGGACAACTTCCTTGGGATCCTTTTCATCCCCCTTGGTCTCACCACCTTTTCTGGGCCTTGGTTTCTTACCAGGGTTCACACTGGCCATAGCTGCCGTCAGCTTCTGCTTCCCTTCGGCGCTGACGAGGTTCCCAACTTGAAGATGCTGGTCGCCATTCAAAACGCCGCCCGCCTGCAGAGCATGGGGCAGGAAAGATTGGTGGTTTCTTCGCAGTGATTGGTGGGGCAGGAAAGAGATAATTATAGGAAAGAAGCTGGCCTCAACAAACTGTTTGAGTTGGTCTGAATCAGGGGTGCCCTCCATCTCGAGTGAGGTGATCCGCTTGAGTTCTGCAATGTTTTCCACGTTAAGCTCTACAAGCACGAAGAACAGCAACTCTGTAGGATCGTCCGGCAACTCCGGGTTCTGCACAGTCCTAAGCCCATCAATAGGCACCCGAACCATCCCCCAAAAACAAGATGTTGAACCTCAAAGCCCCGCAAGATAAACATATACATGACTGGTTGCGCGCAAGGGTCAACGAGAGTTGCTTCTTCCGTTCCATTTTCTTCTCCGCACGCTCTTGGCCGTGCTGCTTGATGATCCAAGTGGAGTTGCGAAAGCCGTACTTCAGCTTTGTTCTCTGAGACTCTTCTAACCGTCTTTCGTGTCGGAACGTCACATCCTTTTTGTTACGACCAGTTTTGCAGTAGTCTTCGAAAATCCGCTGACGGCTTTCTGGGTTCTTGCATGCTGCCACTATGCTGGCAGGGCAAGACTTTTTGTTTCTCAACCACCGGCCAAATGACTGCCAGTCTGCGTTTGCTGTCACTGAATTGAGCTTCTCTTCCTCAGTCTCGGCTAAACTGGTCCCTGCCTCTTTCTCCTTTTTCTTCTTGCCTTTCTTGCCTTCAGCTTTGTCTGCCCCGGCTGCTTCATCCTCTTCTTCGACATCTTCTTCAGAGCCCTCATCCTCCGCTGCATCTTCTTCTTCCTCTTCCTCCTCCTCACTTCCCTCCTCCGCAGTTTCCATTTCTTCGCCATCTTCTTCATCCGCTTCATCTTCTGTTGCTTCACCATCGCTGGATCCACTCGGTTCATCCTCCTCTTCTTCTTCTTCTCCCTTTCCACTTTCCTCATCACTTGCCTCTTCCGCTTCCTCTACCTCTTCTTCTTCTTCCTCCTCACTGCAGCTTGGGCTTGAGGCATTCTCTTCAGCTGAACCTTTATCTTCCTCTTCCTCTTCCGACCCTTCATCGGTGTCCGTGTTTGACTCGTCTGAGCTTTCCTCTTCCTCCTCCTCCTTCTTCTTCATGGCTTCCTCCTTTGCCTTCTGCTCTTCATCCTTCTTCTTCTTCTTCTCAGCTGCTTCCTTTCTCTTCGTCTTCAATTCCTTCTCTTCCTTTTTTTTCTTCTGTGCTTCTTCTTCTTCTTTCTTTTTCTCAGCTTCAGCTGCCTTCCTTTTCTTTAATGCCTCCACTTCTTCCTTCTTCTTCTTCTCCTCAGCTGCTTCCTTTTGCTTCCGCTTCAATTCCTGCTCCTCTTGTTTCTTCTTCATCGCCTTCTCCTCTGCATTCTGCTTCTTCAGTTCCTTCTCCTTTGCTGCCTTCTTCTTGTCAGCTGCTTCCTTTTTCTTTTTCTGCAGCTCTTCCTCATCTTTTTTCTTCTTGTCAGCTGCTTCCTTCTTCTTCTCCTGCTCTTCCTCATCTTTTTTCTTGTGAGCGGCTTGCTTCTTCTTCTCCTCACGTTCTTCTTTCTTATTGTCAGCTGCTTTCTTTTTCTTCTTCACTTCTTCCTCTTCTTCATCTTCCCTTTTCTTGGCATGCTCCTTGGCCTTCTCCTCCGCTTTCCTCTTCTTCTCAGCGGCTGGCATAGTGGCCTCCGTCTTGACCTCTTTCTTTGTTTCTTTGACTTCCCATGTTGCACTTCAGCCTCATCCTCTGCTGGGCTTCTCCTTTTGCTAGCCTTCCGGGTGGGTGAAAGTTTCCAAGGCAGAACAGTTTGCCGACGTTGGCAAAAATGTAATCTGAGCAGGTCTTCCTTACGTGGTAGGTTTGCAGGGGTTGGAAACTTGGGCCCATGAGTAGTCCACCTCCGAATGTCACTTTTGGGGAAGCCAGGTCGCACAGGCAACCCTGCCTCAACTGCTTTCCTGTTTTCCTCTTCCTTCTTGTCTGCCTTCAGGATTCCTTTCACCTTTGTCTCGCCTGAGACCTTGTTCTTCTTCATAATTGGGCCATCGCTGGGTGTAGGCATCTCTTCCTCATCATCGCTGCTGTTGTCTTTGCCGGCCTGAAGAGAGCGCGAAAGAGACCACAATGGACATTTGGTTTTCCGGGCTGTTTGGACACAAAATGGGTTTACAAAGTTTACACAGGGCACGCCGCCTGCATAGATTTGTAGATCCCATCTGCTTCTTCTTTGCTCATAGGAACTGCCTTTTTCTTTCCTTTGCCAGCCTTGTTGGGCCCTGCAGGGTGCTCAGCGACGATAGGAACCTCGCTCGGACTGCCGGAAAAGGAAATCTTCCTTCTCACAGCATCAACTTTCTCACCTGAAGTTTCAGCTGCTTTTGTTGTCCGTGGAGGCGGTGTGCTCAGTGCCTTCAAAGCTTTCGGGTCAGGGCTTTTACCCCTGGAGTTCTTTTTGGTCAACTTCCCATCCTTTAGAGTACTCTTTCCATGGACACGAACTGGCGGTGCCTCTGCTGGTTGGCTTTTTGTTTTAGCCATTCTAGACCAGTCTAGACCAAAGCGCTATAGCAAAATGCTGCGTCTATATGCCAAACACATTTTATACCCTCCAGCGAAGTGCATAATGTACTGCAGAACATAGATGAACACCAGAAATTGATGACAAATCACTCTCTTTTCCATTTCAACCCCGATGAACTCTTCCAAATTGTGACCAGGACTCGCTCGAGCTAGGCCGGATCCCTCCAAAAACATACAAAAGTCTGCACCCCCAAAAACCAATAATTTTTATCGCTTTTTATCGGCTTTTGATCGGGTTTTTGATCGCTTTTGGGAACCATCCAATTTCCACAATCTTTAGCTTGGGGCCACCCAAAACAGACAAAATCATAGTTGGGCGCAGCCTATCCATCGAGCCATCTCCCGAAGTTGCTTCAAAGCAGCGTAAGCGTGTGGCAAATTTGGGGCCACACAGCTAATTTAGCATCAGCTCATTTATGAGCTAATTGAACAACCGCATCACGGATGCGTGCATGCTGATCCCAGCCATGGTCCTCGAGCAGGGTGATATCTATATATATCTATATATATTATGATTATGGTTTCTATCTATACCGAGCAACCGAGAAGTGATCAAGTGAAACCGATAAACCCAGAAAGTGGTCAAGAAACCGAGAAAACCGATAAACGGATAGAGTGATCTACCGAGAATGTGATCAAGTGAACCGATAAGTGAAGCCGATAAACCGATAAAGTGGTCTAGCGAGGTCGATAAACCGATAAAATCCGATAAAGTGATCAAGCGAACCGATAAGTGAAGCCGATAAACCGATAAAGTGATCTAGCGAGGTCGATAAACCGATAAAATCCGATAAAATGATCAAGCGAACAGATAAGTGAAGCCGATAAACCGATAAAGTGATCTAGTGAGGGCGAGAAACCGATAAATCCTATAAAGTGATCAAGCGAACCGAAAAGGGAAGCCGATAAACCGATAAACCGAGAAAGTGATCAAGGGAATCCGATAAACCGATCAGGTGACCTAGTGTCTGAAGTGAAGTCAATACACCCTCAACACTTTAAAGGTTATGCCGGAAACCCACGGTCAGAAAATATAGGACTGCGTACCGACAAGGTTGCTACGACAAGAACCGCAAGATCGAGTCCTTCAGGGTTGGCAGTGGGCTCTTCAGCTCCATCAAGAACTTCCTTGGGCAGAGTCTTGTTGGGCCGGAGATGGGGTGAGCGAGATCAATTGGGTGGTGAAGCAATTGGCTCCCCAGATACGTTTCTATCAAAATACATCGACTTTAGCCTTTCTTTTGGAAGGAGTTGCAGGGTCGTTTGTGCATTAGAGCAGTCGAGAAGCATTCGGGCTGTAGCTTCCTTTGTCAAGAAGTCCTGCCAAAACACAGGCCTAGAATCTGTTTCCTTTTGATCACGTCACACCCCGCCTTGTTGTTCAACCATCTTTCCCCTACCACCTGTCCAAACAGGACCGGATAGTGTTGGGAAGACTTCAAGCTTGCTCCCCCTTGGACACGCGCAATGCCAGCGCTGTCCGTATACCTAGGATGGACATGTATGGACTGTATGGACCAATATTTACATATATATATATACGTATATATAAACATATGGAGCAAGATGTCCCTACCGTTTCAAAAACACACACAGAAAGAGATGCGAAAGAAAGTTGTTGTATGGTGAAATACCACTAAGTGCACACAAGGGGCTTGTGACTCATCTCTGGGTCCCACTCGACGTTGTCCGGAAGTGGCAAATACAATCCATCCACCAAACATTTGAAGTTCGTGTACAATACGGTGGGTTTTGGGCCTTGGGTCGAATGGCTGGCTGGCGCCAAGGTAAGGCACCAGAATCTGAAGTTCCACCTGAACTTGAAGTTCCACCTGACCTTTTGGAATGATCCTTGACATCCATAAGCGGCTCGGCCTAAAATCATCTTTCAAGACAAGTCACAGAACCCACCGTAGCTCCCCATCCACAGAAAGGCCTCAAAACGCAAACGCAAAACAGTTGGTTTGATCAACGCTGAGGGGCTGCTTGCTACCTGGTTTCTGGCCTTTAAGACCTTTCCAGCTCTTGATGTTAGTGCTAGGTTACCAAGTCTTTGCAGCTAAGAAACCTTGTAGATGGTATGCGATTTTGCAAGCCTGCGGAACATTGGGTGCTCCTCCATGAGCGAGGAGGATGGTTGCTCTAGCACCCAGGGCAAGTGCAACTGAGATAGGATCTGGATGATGGCAAAACAGCGTGAAGCAAAGAGATTCCTCAGGCCGGCGCTGAGATAGAGCAATGTGTGAACTAGAAAACCTTAAGCTGTGAAGGCTGTACACTCGGGAAGTTGAACCACTCGTGAAAACACTTTTTTCTCGTCTGATCAAAAGCGTTGCTGCTTCAGCTACTGGTTGAAGGCCAACAAGGTCTACGCATTACCCCCTGCTGTCCTGCTGGCCTTCCCCATCCTTCACCTATCACTAGTGTAGCCACTAGCGAAACAAAGACAGTGGTCAAGCGTTCACTCACCCCACGACTCCGTCCGCATCACGCATGACACCCTGAGCCAGCTCCCATGCGCCAAGCACTCCATGTACTGTCCATGGAATCCTTGGCTGAACCAACTGCAAACCAACCCGTGAAACTCTTGAAACGCCCATGCGTGAAAAAAGTCATGGTTTCACCAAACAATTCGAACTAGGGTCGACTTGGAATTGGCAATGGACTTGTTGCTCGGAGAACTCTTGGGCTTGAAAGCTTTCTGTCGCAGAAGCACTTCAACACGGCCAATGCCTGGCACAAGCTTCGTGAACGAATGTGCTCCATGCGTCACAGACATGGGCTTCAGCTCTTCCGGAAGATCAGCAATTGCAGGTCGATATTCTTCAAGGAAAGACTCAAGTACCTGCAACACAAAAACATACTTTGCGCCAAACTAGTGTTAGTTAGATTTAGCTAGCTTTAGTTAGCTACAACCGCAATACAAAAAGGTTCAACGCCTGTTCCTCGGGAAGTTCAGGCTGAAGCTTCGCACGCTTTGCAGTCTTGGTTGATGCTTTTGATGGACGCTTGTTCTTCTTCTCACCACCTCCAATCGCTCCAATGGTTTCAACCATTTTGTTGACATTGGTCTTCTGACAACAACAGGTTTCTAGGGAGACGAAAAGACCTCCAAACAGTGGTCCCAAAAAACAACCCAACCTTCTTCTCGCGTCTCCCTCTTAAGATAACCAACATCGACTGGCTCAGGTGGAGCATCTTGGATTGCGGCAACAGCTTCATGAAACCCTTCAGGAGCTTCATGAGGACCGGAGAGGGCACTGTTGGCCTGTGGGCGGTTCAGGGCGCATAGAATTTTAGCTGTATGCAGACAGAAGACACACACACGCACACGTCCACTTTCAAGATTGTTTTGAAAAACCTCAGAACATTTTGAATTATTCCAAACCACATGGAAAATGGAGATTGGAGGCCTTGGCCCAAATATCACTGCCACAATCGCTATCAGGGCCGCTGCTCACATCGTGCACCACCATGGATACCTGCAACAAGTAGATACAAATGATACAGTATACTGATATGTGCTCGGCCCTGGTAACACACCAACAACCTGTCTTGGCACAGGGGGCCCTACTTAGTTAGTGAGTGAGAGCAAGAGTGTGTGCGTGTAGAGGGACCAATGGGCAAGCCACCAACATTCACATATGAAAATCATACCCCGCCCCCGCCTCCAGCTGAGAGTCTTGATCAAAGTCATGAGGTTGAGCGTCAGCCATCCAGCCAGCAAACATCCGCTCGTCCAGTTCTAAACTACTCGAGTCACTGGATTCACCTGTTCCGGGTAAGAGCAAAGTCTCCTGTGACAGAGTCCCATGCGATGACACAGAATCAGCGTCTGAGGAATCTGCGTCGGGTTGCGAGTCTCCAGTCAAGAAACTTGTGCATAGGTCATGTACTTGGCCGCCCACTGCAGGTTGGGACTCAGCTGCTGTGTCCCAATACTTGAACAATTCTTTGCAAGCTTGCAACTGCGGGTTAGGAGACGCTTTGGTATCCCGCCAGCGCCTGCGAGCAGCAGACCACACCTTCTGAATCTTGAAGGCAGCAATGTCGACGTTCTCTTGCCACGCAGCAGCGTCAACGCCGCGAATAGCTAGGCCCTGCGTGTGAAACATAC